GTTGAATGTGGATTCTCCATCAGTATTGTACGAAAAGGAGTGCTTTTAAACAAAATATAAATATATAAAACATAGTAGGCCTACAAGTATTCACACCTTTACACCGCCAACTGTCCGAGTTGTATGGTCCTAAAGTAAATTTGCCTCACCATAGCGACAGAGGTACACACTGCACACGATGCACAACACCTACTTTGACCATCTTTCTCCCACAAGAGAGAAAGAGAGAGAGAGAGAGAGAGAGAGAGAGAGAGAGAGAGAGAGAGAGAGAGAGAGAGAGAGAGAGAGAGAGAGAGAGAGAGAGAGATGCTGAGACACACACTCACAGACAAACATTTCCTATACCCCACACACCTTCACACATCACTACCACCACAAATAACAGAAACAACAACAACAAAAACAACAACAACAATAACAACAACAACAACAACAACCAGCAACAACAGCAATACTAATAAACACCACAACTACCATCATTAACAACTGACAGCAACAGCAACAACAACCACCAAAAAATCATCAACACCACCACCACCACCACCACCACCAACAACAACAACAACAACAAATAACAACAAACAACAAATAAAAAACAAACAACATCAACAAACAACAACAACAACAACAACACCAATATCCAAACCAAAGCCTGACCTTCCAGAAGAAGATGAGCATCAGCATGGTGACCACTGTGACGTAGAGGATGATGGACAACACAATCACACCCGGGCCCCAGTGGTAGTCTATGTCGGCGGCACGGGTCATCACCAGGTAAATGTCTTCTTTCGAAATACCGTTCTGTTCACTCAGCATTAAAAAAAAAGAAAGATAGAAAGATAGAAAGATAGAAAGATAGAAAGAAATAAAAATTAAATAATCCCAGCAATTATGACCTTGATACAGATAATATTCATCATCATCATCATCATCATCATCATCATCATCATCATCATCATCATCATCATCCTATAATAAAAGGTGGTGCCAAAGTTCTGCCCGCAAAGGCTTTTTGTGACAATACCAATCGTTTTGGAAAAATGCAACCCAAAAAATTTAATTTAAAAAATAAGAAATTGGTCTTAATCGTGAGTATTAGCAATACTGTATGTATGGCCTTAGCCGACAATCAACTCAAAGAAATCTGACCACACCACTGAGCAAAAATGCAGAAGGGTTTCGAGTTCACCCCCAATTATTAACAAACGCTTACTACAAAGCTCACCGAGACACAAATTGTTTTTTTGTTATCTGTATTGTCGGTGAGTTTGAGGACAAGAAAAATAAGAAAAACCTACCCCACCAACTCGACAGTATAAATTACTTAACTTTTTACTTTTACTTTTTTTTATCGTCTGAGGCGTTAATTAAGCGCCGATGGGAGAGGCAGTTTTCTATGGTAGACCAGCTCTGAAGCTCTTTCGGTTATGATATTTTGATTTCTCAGGGTTTCCTTGACACCCCCGGTCCACTGTTTGCGTGGCCTTCCATGACACCATAATTCATTGTAATACATTTTGTTGTGTCTCTCTCCCTTGCGTGGTCGCAAAACTCACTGATAAACAGTTAGTAGGCCAAATCTTTTGTTGTTCTTTGATACTCAGATTCGCAACAAGGGGCCCGATGTTGTGTACTTGGGAAAGGCACTTTACACGAATGTTCCACACTTCACACAGGTGAGAATGGGTACCCAGCTATAGACAGTCTGTTCGTTAGTGTTTGAGCGCTTAATCAGCTGCTTGCACTGTATGCTTCCCGAGAAGCTGAGAATGTTTCTGAGAATCCTGTGGTCTGCTGGGGTGATAGTAATAATATAGTGCAAAGCCTAGACGGTTAGAGAACGAATAAGAACGTATAGTGTAAAGCACATCGAGCTTGCTTTCAAGCCGGGATATGCGCTATACAAAAATATGCTAAATTATTATGATTATTCATTTTACTAAGCTAACAGTTAACCACCTCGGTGCCGCAGGCACAAGTCATAAATTAAATTCCTGCGAGAGTGAGAGGGTTGAGGGGTAGGGATGTGTATGGGTGGGGGGG